TCTGATAAAAAAAAAACACTGAAAAACTCAAGATTTAAAAGGCTCTCTCATTATGTTGGGCATTCTGATTTTATCATTTTTATATTGCCCCATCCACAGCATTCCCTTGACCAGAAAATAATTTACCAAAAGTAGAACTGTTAACTCTTTTCATTCAATAAAAATACCTCTGAAAATTTTACTTTAAAAAATTTTTTACTTCTTAAGATTGACTTGTCCAACACACATAATAGCTTGAAAGTCTTGCTTTTTAGTTTGTTCTAACATGTGTGTAGGGATTTGCTCCATCTCATTCATGCCCACGCAGCAGCCAGCCTGTATTCCACGCGGGATGCTTATTATGAGTGGCTGATATGTCTAAAATCAAAAAGTACTGGAGGGCCGTTCTCTCCATGAACACTCATCATTTGGAAGCGAATGGTGGAAACGGAAACAGGGCCATGTTGGGACTATTTGGGCAGCGCTAGGAAGCTAACCCATCTCCTAGAAATGGTCTAAAATGAAGCCACTGGTATGAAATGCCAACTTGCTCCTAACATTCAGGCAGCTCCACTTTGCAAATCCACCCAACATGGTGACCTCCTTCAAGTTTCCTAGTCATTATTTCAGGGATTTGTAGCCAAGGGCCCAGGAGGGTCCAGTATGAACCCATAATTAGTGACTGAAACAATCAAATGATGGGTCTGCAGTGTCAGTTCTCTGTCATTATGACCTCTAACCCCATTCCAACCTGCTAAATTAGGACAAAGCTCTCTTTCCATTCTTAAAGATAACATTATTTTGAACATTAAGATATCAAAAACAAATAATGTGGTATTTCTAAATAATAAAGCAAAGAAAACCATCAATTAAATGTAAAAACAACCTACTATTTGCAAATCATACATCTAATAAGGGGCTAATATCCAGAGTACATGTAGAACTCATACAACTGAACAGCAAAAAAAATAAACAATCTAATTAAAAACGGGCAGAGTATCTGGTTTTTCCAAAGAAGACATCAGATGGCCAACAGATACATGAAAAGATGCTCAACATCACTAATTATCAGGGAAATATAAACCAAAACCACAATGAGATACCACCTCACACCTGTTAAAATGGATATTATCAAAAAGACTAGAAATAACAAGTGCCGGCAAGGATACGGAGAGAAGAGAACCCTTGTACACTGTTGGTGGGAATGTAAATTGGTGCAGGCACTATGGAAAATGTTATGGCGGTTTCTCAAAAAATTAATAATTGAACTACCATATGTTCCAGCAGTTGCACTTCTGGGTACTTATCCAAAGAAAATGAAAATACTCACAACAAAATATACGTGCATCCCCATGTTCACTGCAGCATTATCTACAATAGTCCAATATGGAAACAACCTAAATGTCCATCAATGGATGAATGAATAAAGAAATTGTGGTATGGATGTATACACACACTCATACAATGGAATATTATTTAGCCATAAAAAAGAATGAAATCTTATCATTTGTGACGATGTAGATGGACCTTTGCAGCATTACTCTAAGTGAAATAAGTCAGACAAAGACAAATACCATATGATCTCTCCTGTATGTGAATCTAAAAAAATAAACAAATAAACCAAGCTAATAGATACAGAGAACAGATCCGTGGTTGCCAGAGACAGGGGTGTGAGTGGGAGAATTTTTTTTTAGTTTAAATAAATTGAATAAACAGATAAAAATAACACAAGGTGAAATTTTAGAACAACACTATGATGTTTATAAATAATTACCTAGTTTAGGACACTATTATGCCTGAAACTAACAAGTATTTTGACTATGAATTAAAGGGTAATAGGAGCAGAAGACACGCTGATAAGTTTCTTTTAATGTTGACTGCCTGTGAGAAGCCCAGATGCTCTGGCTACGATCAGAACAGCCAACCCAAAGGGTGACAAGCAGCCAGGAAAAAAAGGGCTTGGAGCTCAGGTATTCAACAAATATTTCAAAAATGTGCCTGTCTTAACAAGCAACACTTGAAGGTGTACGAGGGTTAACACACACCAGCTTTCTGTTTCCAGTTTCCCATTAACCTGACATCCCGGGAGAAACCTGATAACATGCTATCTCTGAACCTGATCCTTTGGCTTCTGTGACTATTTTCCCCCCATTCGAAATCCTTTATAGCCGGGCTCTTAAAAATATCTCAACCGCGCACTCTGTGTTTATGGATAGCTGTGCATTTAGCAATAAACTGGCCCTCCCCAGAAATGCCTGCACTTAAACATGCCAGTGCTCAAAGAAATCACAGATGCTCTCCATCGACCTGTACATTCCCATAAGGAATCATTTGGAACAACTAATCCTCTGCCTTGAGGTAAACCAGATTAACTCCAACTGATCTCTCTGGAAACTCTCTGTAGACATGATGTTTCAAATCACTTGTAGCTATCTGCAAGTCCCTTTTGGCAAGGGATTTTTCTTTCCAGGTTTTCTAGGTCAAATGATTGGCCCTGTGTGAGCAAAGATTGCCTTGGGTCACTCTGCTTCAAAGGCGACGCAACGTAAGATGGTCTCTCAAAGCAGTTCTGACATCAAAGTCCACGCCAGCTTCCTATACCGCTGGAATTGACAGGGTTAGTCTGCTCCAGCAAGGAACTTCAAAGAGCTGGCCCCTTGCCAGCCACAAGGGGCTCCTTGTCTCCCTAACCAAGTTAATCCTCCTTAAGGAAGAAATGCAGGTATTGCCACCAGAGCAATCTAAACATCTTCACACAGTCACTGGAGCGAGCTTTGTCTGAGAAAAAGTTGGGGTGCTTTGTTGACTTGTCCAATGTAAATTAAAAGGCATAGTAGGTGCTCAATAAACATTCTTGAATGCATGACTACCTGAACCGAATAACAGCGGACTATCAGATGTGGTTACTGCTCCTGTCGTCAGGAGTGTTACCAAATAAACCTCAGAATATTGCTCGGCCCCCTGTCTCTGGTGTCCCTCCAGCTCTCATTATTCAGATTCCCGACAGCCTAGCTCTCTGCGCTCAGCATCAGAAGAACTTACAGGAGAAACAGAAAAGGAATTTGAGTATCAGCTCTGCGATCTGAGTTGGAGAGGTAACAATGGAAGGTCTTTCTCCACAACCTCTTTCTCCCCGTAGCTATTAATATCGACTCCCAATTATTTTTCAAAAGAAAGGCATCTTTTCTGTACCATCTGGCTCTAGAATCACTTTTTTCTTCCACCCCTCATGAGCAAAGAAATCCATACCCCAATTTAGAATGTAAATTATAGAAATGTATTTCTATACCATGAAACTAGGTACATTCAAACTCATACAAATTAGAAATTTTAAAAGGACAGATGAAATAAATAATATATTAAAGTAAGTTCTATTTATTTGTTAATGGTTCAAAAATGATTTCACTAAAACTATTTTATTAATTATTAATATGTTAATATAAGGAGATCATAATGTGTTTTTTTAAATCCTGATTTAACCCTTTAATGATTTGCAAGCCTGGTTCTCATTTCAGTTTATTTAGGTACTTAGTTTTAGTGGCTGTCACACTGGGGATCCACAAATAATATGTGGATCCAAACAAAAGAAGATGTCTTTAGCTACATTATCATGACACTGGTTTTTCAATTCCTTCTATTAGTTGTTAAAAGTGTGTCTTCTCGCACTGAGTGTTCATATGCTGCCCGGCTGGTGTGGCTCAGTGGTTGAGCACTGACCCACGCACCAAGAGGTCGCTGGTTCAATTCCTGGTCAGGACACATGTCCCGGTTGTGGGCTTGATCCCCAGTGGGGGACATGCAGGAGGTGGCCAATCAATGTTCTCTCTCATTGATTGTCCTCTCTCTCTAAAACCAATAAAGAGCCTGGCTGGTGTGGCTCAGTGGTTGACCCATGCGCCAAGAGGTCGCCGGTTCGATTCTGGTCAGGGCACACGCCCCGGTTGTGGGCCAAATCCCCAGTAAGGGGCATGCAGGAGGCGGACTATCGATGTTCTCGCTCATCAATGTTTCTCTCTCTCTCTCATTCTCCCTTCCTCTCTCTAAAATCCACAAAGAAAAAAATTTTTTTAAATCAATAAAGAAACAAATTATTAAAAAATAAAATGTTCATATGCTGTGAAGGGGTGATGTCAGCAGCTGATACCTTAATGTACCATGTGTATGTAGAGTGAAAACAGTCATTCATAACAGGCTCAGATCTAATCAGATGAAGAACTGGGATTCAAAGCCAGAAAGTATGATGTCACAGTCAATGCAATGAACCTTGTCACTCCGAATGTGACCACAGCCAGCTTTACCTACTGGGAGCTGGTTACAAATGCAGGTTCTCGGGCCCCACTCCAGCCCTGGGGACTCTGCGTCTGCTTTTTAACGACATCCCCAGATGATGTGCAGACGCGTTAAAATTGAGAGAAGCACTCTTCTGAAAACATTCAGCTACAATAAAACCGCAGAAATGTCCACTATCTGAGAACACTGAACACCTGCCCACAGGCACTCACCACCAGAAAATTCAACCTCAGTGGTTTGATATCTAGGCATTTTTAAAAGCCTGAAATAACTTATATTTGAGAGAGTCAGAGACACATAAGTATCTATTTCTCTAGATATGCTTTTCCATGATAGATCATACAATATATGCACAGTCTGCACTGGTTACGCTTTCTAGGGAGAAGCTTCCACAAAAATCATGATTTATTATTATCTTAACCTCTTATATTGCACATGAATGTAAGAAACGGTCATTGCATTTTCTGTAAAACTGCTAAAAGCCCTCTATAATGCGAACTACTCAGAGGCATGAACCATGTTAGGAAATAGTACGATGCCTCAGTACATAGCAGCAACACCATTGCTAATTGCTAAATGAATACACGAAAGAAAGAAAGCAGCAATCATCCAGGGTCCCACTGGGGGTCCCACTGGGGTTGGCACTGCATGAACATCCAGATATCCTCACAACAATCCTCAGAAGCAGGCATCAGAAGATCAAGGAGAAGGAACTTACCCACAGTACATACCTGAACAGAAACTGGAGTGAAATTCAGGTCTCACTTCAAAGCCCATGAGCTAGCCCAGTGGTTCTGAAAACAGGGGAACATCAGAATCATCTGGAGAACTTGTAAAATAATTTCCCACTTCTCTAAGTGTCCCTTTTTGTCCTGCTCTGATTCTTAGAGTCATGTTCCACACATTCACACAATAAACAAACAAATAAAACCCCAAATTGAATAAAAGCGGTAGCAGATGTTCCTGACTGCATCATAAATAACATAAGCGTATTGAAAGGGTGGAGACGGAAAGAACTAACCCTAATAAACGTGGGCTAACACTGTTTGGCCGGAATACTCTAAGACTAAAGAAAAAACTGTACACTAATAATATACTCGAGTTGGCACACTTACTTGTCATGGGGGAACATGCAATCTCGGCGCCAAGGTTTCTTAACCTTGCTACCAACACTTAGGACCACATAACTCTTTCTTGTGAAGGCTGTCATGTGCTCTGTAGGACAACCAAAAACATCTCCAGACATCGACAAAAGGGTCCCCTGGGAGACAAAACTGCCTTCAGTTGGAACCACTGCTTTGCATGTCTACTAGGTTCAAACAAACAAGTAAACATGTTCTAGACAATGAGAGCCAGCTCCTTTCTCTCAGGCTGGAGAGGAAAGTAACAAATAAGAAAAGGAGAAATGGTAGAAAGAACCCTGTCCTGTTGTATTTGAGCCAGAGGTAAGAACTCACGGTATTTTAGGTAGATGACAGACAGATGGATAGATACTGAAACAAATATATATATATATGGGTGTGTAGATGTGTTAGCATGATCCGTGTATTTCCTAGCTTTGTCCACTGAAAGGGCTTAGGAACAATGATGTGGACTTGTGGCCCAATTTTTTTTTTTCTTTATTGATTTTTTAGAGAGAGTGGAAGAGAGGGGGAGAGAGAGATAGAAACATCGATGAGAGAGAACATCGATTGGCCACCTCCTGCACGCCCCCCACTGGGGACTGGGCCCACAACCTGGGCATGTGCCCTGACCAGGAATCAAACTGGCGACTTCTTGGTTCATGGGTCAATGCTCAATCACTGAGCCACCCCGGCCAGGCATTTGTGGCCCAATTTTGACCAATAAAATAGAAAGCAACATTTGTGTGGAGACTGCTAGAAATATCTTCCCATTCTGAATAAAGAAAAAATACTGCATGCTCATAAAAAAAGAAAGATTTGTTCTATGTCAGACGCTATTCCAAGAATTTGAAATAAACAATACCTTTTCATCCTCATGACAACCCTAAGAGGTAGGTCTGTTATCCAATTTTGCTATCTGATAAATCAAGTTTCCCTTAGTAACTCTCCTTTTCAGAATGTGCCTGGATATTTTCACATATTTTTTCTTCCAGGCAAACTTTAGAAGCATATACATATCTTCAAATGCAATAGCGAGACCCAAAACTCTTTTATTTTTCATTCATTACAGCAGGCATCTAATGAATAGTTCCTGATGCTATTCCCTCCCCTCCCCTCCCCTCCCCTCCCCTCCCCTCCCCTCCCCTCCCCTCCCCTCCTTCCCTTCCCTTCCCTTCCCTTCCCTTCCCTTCCCTTCCCTTCCCTTCCCTTCCCTTCCCTTCCCTTCCCTTCCCTTCCCTTTTCTTTATAGTAGGAGCCTAAAAAGAGTGGAGGTGGCTGGAACATCTCTTGACCACGCAGGGCAGGGCAGGGCAGAAAAAAGAGTCAAAATAGTTAAAATAATTTATAGTACATTTTATAGTTTAATGTTTTTAACACAGAGGAAAAAACAAACAAACATACAACTATATAAACAACCTTGATTGGGGATAATATTAAAAATTTACATTTAAGCCCTGGCCAGTTTGGCTCAGCGGTTGAGCATTGACCTGCGGACCAGAGAGTCCTGGCTTCAGTTCCCGCTAGGGACACGTACCACAAAAAAAAAGAAAAAGAAAAAAAAAAATTTACATTTAAGACCCTCCATGAATGTAAGATTCAAACTAAATAAATGACCCACCAGCCCCATCCCATTATAAGCCTCAAAAGTTCTCTCATTGTCTCTCTTGACTTGACCCCCTCCAAAAATTAGTAAACTAATGTAATGATTTCCTTTGACATGATTATCATTTAATTTTCATTTACAGCCATAACAGTAGGTATCAGAATTCTTCATGAAGGGTTAACTTTAAGTTTCATTTGAAAAGCTACTACGGCCCTGGCCGGTTTGGCTCAGCGGTTAGAGCGTCTGCCTGCGGTCCGTAGAGACCCGGGTTCGGTTCCCGCTAAGGGCATGTGCCTCGGTTGCAGTTTGTCCCCGGCCCTGGTTGGTCGTGCGGGTGGCGGCCACTCGATGTGTCCCTTTCACATCGATGTTTCCCTCTCTCTCTCTCTTCCTCTCTCTCCCTCCCACTCTGTCTGTGCAAAAAATGGAAAAATGTCCTCGGATGAGGATTAAAAAAAAAAAAAGAAAAAAGAAAAGCTACTACGTAAATTTAGCTATCTGTAAGTTACATCTCTCAAAATGCGGAGATCAAGGAAAAGATGAGATCCCTCTATTTCTCTTTAGAGTTGTTTCATCGTGTGATGTATTTTCTTTTCTAGCCTGTATCAGTTAATCCTTAAAATCATCATTTTAGATCAGATGGTCATGGTTTCTGCAAGCTTTACTAGCTCCTGGGAGAGAAGAATCCCCTCGTTAAGATGTAGTGCTTGAATCAGGTCTTGTTTACACACTCAGGTTCTTTAAAAGTTATTAATTTGGTGCTACTTTAATGAAGAAATAAAAGCTTGCTACAAGAGCAAATGATTATATATAACACATAGACTTGAACTAAGAAAAGGGTTAGTAAGTATTTTGTTTTCTCAATCCCAAATACACTCAAATTGTTACTGGCTTTTTTTTATGTTTTAAATTGATTTATTTTTTATATTTTATGTGAAGAATTGCTTTGTTAGTGTTATGTGAAACCAATGATTAAGAAACTCCCAGTAAATATTTATATTCAGAAATATTTTTCTTTTATTAGTACCTGTGATTTAAAACAAACAACCTCTTGGGGCCTGAGGCACCCCTAATGTTGGAAAATTACAAGGGCATTTACACTTATTTAGAGTTCCTGAAGGCTCAGAGCCTTAGACTTATGAAAAAAATCACAAAATGCAGAGAATTCATTCCATTCCCTTAAAAAAAGAAAACTGTAATTACACTAAGCAATTCATTTCTTGGCAAAAAGAAGGTTTGGGTTTTAATTAAATCAAAGGCATTTATGAAAATTTATTAGCCTTGGTTTCACATGGAAACAATATTCATCTTTCATTGGTGAATATACTAGCTTAATCAATTTATTGCTAAATATAAAAAATTTCTGAAATAAAACAGAATGAAAAATGCTTAACATTATGTGGATCAATATGAGCATTTGAAAAGTTTGATCTTAAGGAAACCACATCTAAAAATTACCTTCAAGATGTTCCTTTCTGTATAGATGTTACCACTGAAAAATTTGAAGGTATTAGAAACTACTAGAGTTGAGCCAGCTAGTAATCAGACAATCTATATTTTTCTTCTATGAAAAATTCTATTACCTGACTTCAGTTTTAAGTTCCTTAAAAAAGAACCACAAATACACAAAGCTACAGATTGACTTGAATTTCTATTTATTATATCTCTTTAATAACAAGTGATAGATGCTTTCTATAACAAATTAAACAACATAGTTGAATGCTGATTCAACGATATATAAACATATCATATATAAATATATATAAAGAATTACTACATTTCATGTGGTTATGTTCCTAGATGTCCGCACTCCTCAAAGAACATACTGTGTTTATGATAAAACACAACAGAGGGACCATAAGCGAACATTCAAACAGAAACAAAAACAAAACTTTAGCTAAAAGTACAGACATTTTTAAAAAACTGGTATGTATACCTGCTTCTAATAGTTAATTGTGTGTGTGTGTGTGTGTGTGTGAGTGTGTGTGTGTGTGTGTGTGTGTGAAAAATCAGTCATACTAGGCTGATGCTGGAGCAACAAAACCAACAGGCAGCCTGGAATGTGATACGGCAGCACCACCAACCACTCCCATAGTATTTTTTAAGCAACAGTTTGGGGGTTTTAGCTTTATATGTCTATACTTAAAAGATATGAAGCCATAAAACTTGGCTTTCAAAAATTTAATCATGGAAAAGAGGATGATTTATGTAAAGAGATACTTTTTTAGTTTTTGCTTTAAATGTCTTGAATTTTCTATTCGTTTTAGAAGATGCAAAAGCCTGGTACTCTCTTTATAAACATGGGGGAAATATTTTAAATGTTTTTATAAAGGGTTAAAGAAGCTATGCTGCAGGAAAACTTCTTTCAAACAAAAATTAATTCCAAGCCAATTTTGTGGAAAAGTCTTATTGAACGTAAGGCTTTGTCTCTTTGAATTCTCTATTAGGAGTTACAATGCATATGCTGTATTTAACACACTGCAGGTAAATAGAAAAAGCAAAACTAAGGGAATAGAGTCATTTTTAAGCAAGTTTCTAGAGATAAACTAAGAGTTTATGAGCAAGAAGCTATTTATTTTAATTACATCAGAGAGAAAAATAGACCACATTTCCTGAGGTTTAAGGGGGGAATATCCACTTCAAGAAGTAACATCATTAATGGCTGTCCAGAATTGTAAATCTATAACCTTGAAGGGCATAGGTGGGTGAAACCCTACTGCTTTCTCCAGATTACTCACAAAGTTACTAATATAATTTGGCAATGAGTCTTAAGGTTATCAGAAATTTCTAGTCTCTGGCTCATAAGTTATCTTCAAGCATCCTGGTTTATAGCAGCTTAATAATAAGCAGCAGGGAAGTGGGAATTCTTTTTGCCTTGGCAGCAGGGGGTATAGGAAGAGAATTCAGATGAAGAACATATTTCACGTCGCCAGAGCTGACAAACGTGAAAAATGTGCCAGACAAACCCCGCGAGCTCCAATCTTCCTAATTAGAAGTCCTGAAACTTTCTCAGCGGTGCTGCCCATGGCCAGGGGTTTTTCTGAACAAAACAAAGGAACTATTTTTCTTAGATTGCAAATGTATTTTTCCTTATAACTTTTTCTCACTGGAAAAAAAAAAAAAAAGACTGTTCATATTCACTGAGTAATTTATCTGGATTCATGCGTTAAATGGTTAAAAAAAAACCAAGAGTACTCACAGGGAGTCATGTTTCATCTGGTTCGAAAGTGAAAAATGAAGATACTGGAGAGAAGGGAACCATTTGCTCAGCAAAGTTTTATTCAGCATCTAAGTCATACTCGGCATTGGTCACACAGTGCAGAGCTTTACAGATGACATCATGACTATTTTATTTGCTCATTCAGTCATTTAAATCCTGAAAACATGTATTTATCACTTAATGCCAAGGCTTGGACAAAATACTAGGGATATAAAATGGTATCGTAAAGCCAAGTTTTGCATTGTTGTAACGTGGAGAAAGACTGGAATGAACCCTGGAGTGCTGGATTTGAAATGTAGTCGCTCCTATGAAATCTTCATTTAGATACAGAACTTTAACTTACACTTAGACATAGGCATAAACTTAGACACAGACACACACACACACACACACACACACTTCCTAGCTCAGTCTGAGAGATCTGAGGCCTGAGAGCATATAGAACTAAAGACACATTAGGGACAATGAGCACACCAAGCACCCAGATCTTGATTTTAAATATCCTTCACGGCGAAAAGGAATCAGGACTCTTATAGGCTGAGCCCGAGAGTCCAGGGCTGGGGCAAGGAAGGACCTAGAACATCTTGTTACACTGGAAAGTAAGAGATTCTCAAAGAAGGATGAAAATCTATCAAAAGGACAGAGGAGCAGTTTGTAGAGGCTCCCACAGGACAAATCGAGACTAATTCGAGAGTCAAGACAACTGACAGACTGGAATATAATTCCTTGTTTTGTAATTTTTATCCTCACCCGAGGACATTTTTTGATATTTTGCTCAGATAGAGTGGGAGGGAGAGAGAGAGAGAGAGAAACATCGATGCGAAAGGAACATATCGAGTGGTCGCCACCCACACCACCCAATCAGGGCCGGGGACAAACTGCAACCGAGGTACGTGCCCTTAGCGGGAACCGAACCCGGGTCTCTCCAGACCGCAGGCCGACGCTCAAACCGGCCAGGGCTGGAATATAATTCCTTGAATAAAATAAGAAACTATGAGTTCAAATGAATACAAATGAAAAATTAAGACAAGAAAAAAGGGAAGCTCTTCCTTCAAACGTAATTCAACTAATAATCGTGGAAGAACCGGAAGATGAGTGTTACAACTCGGGGGTGAAAATTCAACGAGAAACAAGATAGTTACAGTTTCACAGCATCCCCCACAAATGACATGTTAACTGCAAAGGACAAACAGTCACTTTACAGTGGAGAAACCTGGTGGACATGATTTAACCAAGTGAAAAGTCGGTAATACTCGTGCACCGATATCCTGTGCCTACTGATAGGATCTACTGAGAAGGGTATGGCTTTCCTTCCAATGACAGACTAATCATCAGACAAACCCAAACTGAGGGCTCTTCTACAAGGTAACTGACCTCCACTCTTCAAAATATGTTAAGGTCAAGAAAGAAAAAGAAAAGCTAAAGACATATTCTAGATTAAATGAAGGTAATTAGACATGAAAATTATGTGGGATGTGTGATCCTGGACTGAACACTGGGCTGAGAAAAAAATAGCTACAAATGATATTATTGAGACAATGGACAAATTTGTATATGGACTAGAAAATGGTATTATGTCAAGGTTAAATTTCCAGATTTTGATGAGTGTACTGTATTTTATTATAAGAGAATGTTCTTAGGAAATACATACTGCGGTGAATGGGCAAACATTGGCAACTTATTGTCAAATGGCTCCGGAAGCCATTATGCATATACAAAAAATGTAAAACTTACTAAGCAATTGGTAAATCTCAGTCCACAGTATAAATACAGGAAATTTCCTTGTACTGATTATGTAGCTCTTCTTTAAGCTTGAAATTATATCAGTATTAAAAGTTACAAACAAACATGATAGTCCCTTCATTCATAAACGTGGCCATTCAGTTACCAGTTAAGATTTTACTATTTGTCAGACATTTCCAAAGATGAATAGGACAGATTCCTACCCTTGAGGACATCCCCGTCTTGTTGCATTATTTTTATAACAAAAAATATAATAAACATAAAAACATATTGTCCATGCACGTAAACATTTTGACCCAAAATGGCAAGTGGCACTAATGGATCTTTTGTCGTAGGAAACAGTGGCTCTCCATGCCACCAACTTGAAACTCTTATGGCAAACCCCTAATACAGCCTTCTTTTCCCTTAATGCCCTATTACACGGCTGTCCTCCACTGCGTCGCATCTGTCATCAAGCTCCTATCTGCGAGGCCCGGAGACAAAGCCCGGGTATGCCGGTCTGCAAGGCCAGCGGCTCCAGTTGCTGCGTTCGGACACATTATCACTGGCTTCTCATGGGAAAAGGGCAAATGCTGCCTTTCAGTTCTGAGCATGAAAATTAAAAACAGGAAGCGGCCCTACCTGGATTAGTCCTGAGTGGCAGCCACGGGCCGGGAACTATCAGTTTCGTCTGGGCCGGAAGGGGTCCCGGTGGAGGGATGCGGGGCCGCAGCTCTGCGGCTGCCGAGGCGTCTGAAGACCGAATGCGGGTCCCCGGGGAGCAGAATGTACCTGCGCAGATGACAGCAGGCGGGCGTTTAGACAGATCTAGTAAAGGCTCCGGGTCAGAAAAAGCGCTCCGTTTTTCCACTTGAACTCAATGAAAAACCAGTGGAGGTGATGCGGCTCAGTACAGTCACCTCCTGGAGCTGCCAAGCTAAATAATTTAATATCTTTTTGAAGAGCAGAGTCTCCCCCCCACCCCCAGGACATATTTTTCAAAATATTAAACGTCCCCTTCGTTTAGACCTCTTGCAAGCAACTGCATTCTTTTTGGAAATTGGAGAAGGATGGTTTGCCTCGTCTATAATTGGAGAAAAATTCCAGTCTCATTAGGTCGGAAGCCTTCAAATCACATACCTTTGTAGCTTAAAAATTAGGTTACTCTCAACGGTATGCAACATTTGAAATGGTCAGAAATTCCTCAAAAGGTAGGGAGAAAAAGGTGTTTTGAAATAAACATTTCACACTAACCAGTCAGTCATCTCTTTACATTTTGTCCCATTAAGCATGCAAAGCACTTAGCAAGTAAATGAGATTAACGGCGAAAATGAGAATGCCCTGGTATAATGGAGACTCAGTCCTTGACCTAAGAAGTATGGTGGCATGTTTCTATCTGCTGGCACATGGTAACGATTTCCACGTGCTAATCCCCTAAAGGTTAGGACTCATTATTGGCTGAAATATGTTGCTTTCTAAATAGTTCGGTGTGTTGGTTACTTACATTTATATTCTTCTTAATGAGGATAATGTAGTTTTCCATTGGGTTAGAAAATTTAAAAACATAACTTTCAGGGCTTTTGAATATTAACTAATTGCTTAAATCTGTCATTGCTAATAGGTCTCCTATAATTCCCATGGTGTGAACTCATGTTCTATTTCTTTTCTTTCTTTTTTTTTTTAATCCTCACCCGAGGATATGCTTATTGATTTTAGAGAGAGAGGAAGGGGGAGAGAAAGAAACATCGATGTGAGAGAGAAACATCAATTGGCTGCTACCCATAGGCGTCCCGACCAGGGATTGAACCCGAAACCTTTCGGTGTACAGGATGATGCTCCAATGGACTGAGCCACCAGGCCAGAACTCGGGTTCTATTTCTTTCCCCCACTTTCCTTCCTGCAAGGAGAGGGGTAGAGGAGGGATGGCAGAAGGAGAAAAGAATAGGGGAGCCAGGGTGAGAAGGTCCTGATGAGGTTCCTCGTCCTACACAGGGAAACCGTCCAGACTGTGCATAAACATTCTTACTCCGGAAGGTTCGACAACACAGAGGCAAGAAGCCATTCACTGTTTTCAAGTTCTGTGTTTTTGTTGTTGTTTTTTTTTTTTGCTTTGTATCTAATAGTAGCTCCCTCATTAAGGGAAAGAGGGGTGGGCAGAGACCCCTCCCTTCTTTGAAAACCTATACCCAAAGCAGCCCTGAGGGTTCCCCAACAGGCTCCTAAAGCTCCCTAGACACATTTGAAAGTGGTTTGGACTAAACCGCCTCAGTCTCCAGGACACAAACAGAATTGCTTCTGCTCTAGAGAAGCCACCTTCCTACTCCCCCATATCTTGTTCATCACAAGCAGCTAGGTATCCCCATTTACCTCCTTATCACTCAGGTTTCAAAGCAGTCTTCTGGGTAGGCATGATATTAACCAAATACAATTTTTTTTTTAAAGGTAAACACTGAGTCAGATATATTTAGGGTCCACCACAGGATGCTTCTCTAATCAGCTGAAATGCGGACACTGAAGCGCTCCATTTCATCACCTGAGAAACGAAAGGGTCAGCCTAGATGGGTCATGTTCACACTGTACTCTTAGAGTTCAGGGTGATCTCCAAGACAGGGGCGCTAGGGCCTGGCTCCTAAGATTCAGGCTTGCTGAGTCAGGGACACAGTTATGAAGAACAGAGTGCTTCCGGGTGACCCCTGCATGGGCTGTGGCTAGCATCTCCTGCACCTTCACCCCATGCATTCCCTCCCAGTGCACGCTTTACACGTCAAGGTGCAAACATCTTTGCGCGACTAAAGCTCCTTCTTTTTGGAACAGCCACAGATCATGGTCTGCCACCGACTTTGTTATTAAAGCACAGAAAACAGATTAATTATGACTAAAAGAAGGATGCTATTTTTTCCACCAAATAATTGTAGATGGAGGTCTAGAGCCAAAGGGACTCTTCCTCGGGTCCTATTCACATCTTTGCTGCACCCACCACTATTTGTATATGAACACACACACTATATATTTATATGCATGTGTATGTATATAGACACATATGTGTGTATATATATCTATGCGTGTGTGTGATAAATATGTACGGCACTGTGTTGGCTAAGCTGTGCACACCAAGCAAGCAGATTGATTGCCACTATTGTTTTAAAGTGTGTGTGTGTGATTAGGGGAAGGGGATTGTGTTTGTTAATTTCGCTCCCTCACACCCCAATGGAATCCAGGCCCTTGAAAATGAGCCTTTATTTTTGAGGTCAGAATTATCAGTGCAGAGATGAAAGAAGGAATATTTTTCTTCTCTAGACTTTCACACGATAGGATGCGTGAAGAATGTGTTACTTGGGTATCTCCTTTTCCTAGAGGAGTTTTAAATTTTTCAGGCTGTCATGACGACTCATGTGAAGGATGATTTTAGTTAAGAAAACAACTTTGACTCTTTGGGCCAATTTGAAAAAAATATATACCAAAAGTCTACATTACTTCTGTTATTGTTGACGTGCCTGCCTTCAAAGGCTTAAAAGCAACCCAAAATGCTGTCAATCTGGAATGTTTTCTAATGAATTTATAACTCATTCCAAATACATTTGTTTTTTCACTAGACAATTGGTTTCTAAAATATCGAATGCGTTGTTTCCAAGTTGGCCTGGGTGTATCATACAGAAATGGAAAAAAATTAAAATGAGAAATATCTACTTAGTTTTAAATTGAGGTGGCCATATGGAATGCATAATGTTGTTTCTCTGAAATTACTAACATTTTGCAAAACAAAGCTGTTGCACTCAAATATTAGAGCACAACACAGAACTGCAACAGTTAATGAATGACCTGGGAACTCAATTCCTTTATAACACTATGCTACAAAATCCCATATGCTCTCTGAGTGTAGAGAGTAGAGCGGTGAGCATCTTCTCATGTATAAGGAGGTCCCCTTGTACTAATGAGGCAACTGGCAAAAAAGCCCAACAATTCATCATGGGGTGGGGGTGGGGTAGTTACATCCCATTGATAGGGGTTCTTATCCCTGGAGAACGCATGAAATCCCCTGAAACCAGGTAAAGAACTTAGGAAACTTTCCCTCAAGAAAATACATCGTTATAAAGTTCCGTATACAATTTCAGGGGTTCTTAAGGCTTCTGAAGAGGATTCAAAGATCTCAGGTTAAGAGGCCCCAAGCCAGAGCCTCGGCTGGTTTGGCTCAGCACTGACTCACGGACCCAAGGGTCTCGGGTTCAATTCCCAGTCAAGGGCACATATCTGGGTTGCAGGTTTGGTCCCCGCCCTGGTCAGAGTCATGTGGGAGGCAACCAATCGATGTGTCTCTCACACTGACATTTCTCCCTCCCTCCCCACCCCCCGGTCTCCACTCCCTTCCTATCTAAAAAAAAAAAAAAAAAAAGGGAAAAGTATCTTCAGATGAGGATGAACAACACCAAAAAAAGGCCCTGAGGCAGAGAACTAGGCCTATGAAGGGAAGAGGCAAGAATGGCCGCTGGGCCTGCCAAACAAAATAATAGTAATTGGGAAATGTTAAAAGCTAATAAAAACTTGGGGTGAAGTGGGAGAAAAACAGACAGCTAAAGGAGAAAGAGTAAACAAGGGAGAGAGTGGAATAAAAGGAAGTGGTAAGATTAGAAAACTAAAGGGAAAAGGGAAAAACTAAGAGTGAGGAGAGGAGTAGAGAAAGCGCACAAGGGGTGAATGTCCACTTACATTGAACTTGACCGCCGACATTTACTACGTGTTGCTCGTGTGCTAATAATATACTGAACATTTTTCATGTATTTACTTCAAGCTCACACATCTTAAATGTATAAGACCTTTCTTATACGTTTCACAGCTCAAGAAACTGGGGCACAGAAAGACTAAGTATACTGTTCAGTAGACTAGCAACAGAGCTGGGACCAAACCACCTCTAAGTCCTTCTAGCAACACTCCTGCTGCCTCTTCCCGCCCGAGACAGTTTCTAACAGTGACAGCGATGCTGGAATACACGCTCTTCCTTAACAGGCGCGGTATCCGAATCTAGATTACTCTCCTCACCCCAGTCGGTTTGGCTCAGCAGTCAGAGCGTCGGCCCACGGACCAGAGGGTCCTGGGTTCAGTTCCCGCTAAGGGCACGTACCTCGGTTGCAGTTTGTCTCCAGCCCTGGTTGGGGTCGTGTGGGTGGCGACCAGTCAATGTGTCTCTCTCACATCGATGTTTCTCTCTCTCTCTTCCTCCCTTTCTCCCGCTCACTCACTCTATCTAAGGATAAATGCAAAAATGTCCTTGGGTGAGGATAAAAAAAAAAATAAAATAAAATAAAAAAATAGATTACTCTCCTCAAGATCGGAAATGCTCATGATTTTAAACAATGTTTCCAGCTTTATTGAGATGCACTTGACATACTACATTGAGTGTCACAATTTTCATTCCAACAGAAATGGTGCTTTTACGCATGTTCTTAATTTCTGGAAATTCCACAGTTTCACATGTCAAAATACTTCATATGGGAAGGGGGGGTGGGAAGGGATTAACCAAGAAATTATACGCGTACCCCATGGACATAGACAATAGTGCAGTGAAGGCCTGGGGTGGGGGTGAGGGCAGGGGGGCGGAGCAGGGTGAAGGGGGTCAATGGGGGGAAAATTAATTATTATTTTTAAATAGACTAGAAACATGGCCTGCGACAGTCCCCTGACGCGGACTCCGATTCCGCACTGAGGTCTTCGGGTTGCATGGCGTCTCGGTGATTCCTGTTTGTGGACCAGCTGCCCGGGGTCTCACTTTCCTTATTTGTAACAACACTGTTTTGTTA